CGAACTCACAAAGATCCGCCTGCCTCTGCCTCCCGAGTGCTGGGATTAAAGGCGTGCGCCACCACCGCCCAGCAATAATCAAATAATTTTTAAGAAAGAAAAGGAAAAATGTTTTACTCTTTCATCAGTCGATAGATACTTGCCATTTCTACTTTTCAGCTTTTATGAGTAATGCTGTTGTGAACATTTATGCACAACTTTTCCTGAGAAGGTCCAAACCTTTTTGTTGACTGTGCTGCTTTTCTGGAGCACACCGGTGATATCACAGCTAATGAGGGCTCCCGTGTGCTCTCCCACATAGCATCTTCTGGTTAGGTGAATGAAGTGTCTGGATTGCAGACATGGTAGCTGAGGTCCAGACAGGGCTGGTAGCTTTTCTGACCACATAGAGCTAGGAGGTGGGTGAGGGGCCTGCACACAGGTATCTTGCTCCCAGGTTCAGTGCTTTACCAACTGATTGGAAACCTGAAGGCCAAGAAGACCCGAAGCCGGCAATACACAGATTGGTAAAGCCCGATAGACTTTTTCTGTTTGGTGTTTCTTCTCTTGTAGACATTACAACAGTTTGGTCTAGTCTGAAGGTTTTAAAAAAGGACAGAAGAATTAAAAAGTTCTAGAGATTGTCTAGTCTCATCTCCTAATTATACGAGTGTGGCATCTGAGATGCAGAGATGCACAGGTCTCTGTGCTCTTTGTTTTGGAGTCCTCATCCACCTCCACAGCTAAACATGAATTGTGTGGATTTATGAAGGTGATGCCAAGCATTTTTGTGTCTCTTCTCAATAGAACCCAGTCACTGGGCTGTTATCAGCCAGCCATGACCAGAAGGATGCCTGGGTACGGGACAACATCTATAGCATACTGGCTGTGTGGGGCCTGGGCATGGCTTACCGAAAGAATGCCGACCGAGATGAGGATAAAGCCAAGGCCTATGAGTTGGAACAGGTAATAGTAACTTGCATCAGTGTCTTGTCTGTTGAGTACCTTTGTTTGAACTAGAAAACCCATGAGAGCATTTGAGATTTATCTTGACAAAGATGGAATTTAGGGGGTGGGGAATGACCTTGGGGCCTCACACAAGATAAGCACACACACTACCAAATGAGCACCTGGTCTTGGGATTTATCTTTAGTTCATACATTCCTGGACAACTTTCATAGTTAGTGGATGATTGGACTCAGTTGTTGCTTGTTTATAGTAACCTCAGTGAGTGATAAGCAGCATGAAGAAAATTTGATAACTCTGGTAAAGCTAAGAAAGGAAGCTTACCTGTGGGAACAAAGTTTGGATTTGACCAGGACTTTCTCAGTGTGAGGTGATGAAATCACTCAGTTTTTGAGGTATATAAATTTTTTAAAATTACAAATAGCAATTACTGAGTGCTCCTCCAGAAAGATGGATGGATGAGCGAATCAGTTATTTGCTGGTATAATAATTCGATGTCAAGTTTCTTGCAACTCTCCCATCATATGCAAGCACGCACACGCACATGCCACTAAGGTTGATTAAATTTTCTATTCCTTTACTGAACCCCAAGCAGACCACAATGTTTCATGTTTACTGTCTTTTACTGTTGATGTGTTGTTAATAAACTAAAGGATGGGACTAGGCATAGTGGTATATGCCTTTAATCCCACTGTTCAGAAGATAGGGGCAGATATATCTATGTAGACCAGCCTGGTCTACATAGTGAGTTCCAGACCATCCAGGGCTGAATAGTGATTCTCTGTCTCCATAAATAAATACTAATGGAAACATCACCCTTGATTATGGAAAATAATTATCACTGAGCATCTTTGAGTAATATTCAGTTAGAGATACTTGGGGCTTGATTAACACAATCTTTCATTGTGTGAGATTGTCTCATGCATTTGGGGATATTTAGGGACTCTGATCCTGATCATTAAGTTCCAATAATCTTTACTTCTGACATTGTTATGATTAGAGTGCCCCTACCCCCACATTTCTAGATGCTTCCCCACTACTGGGGATTGGCAGTATCAATCCAAGTTGGAAAGCACTTACTTCTTCTCATGGGAAATAGCTTTTCGTAGTTTGATGGGAAGTCAGTTGACGAATGTGTGTGTTGTCTACAGTGGAAGCATTATAACAGTGCTAACGTTACCTTGTTTTTGAGGTAACATTTTCTTCCCCAACAGATTTTTTTTTTGAGACAGGATTTCTCTATGTAGCCCTGGCTGTCCTGGAACTCACTCTGTAAACCAGGCTGGCCTCAAACTCACAGAGATCTGCCTGCTTCTGCCTCCCAAGTGCTGGGATTAAAGTTGTGCGCCACCATGCCTGGCTCCCCAACAGATTTTTTTTTGGTGATTTTTTTCCAAGACAGGGTTTCTATGTGTAGTTTTGCACCTTTCCTGGAACTCGCTTTGTAGAGCAGGCTGGCCTCGAACTCACAGAGATCCTCCTGGCTCTGTCTCCCGAGTTCTAGCATTAAAGGTATGCACCACCACCACACAGCTAGCTTCCCCAACAGATTTTATAACAAAAAATTGGAATTATATTCTAGGATCCTAGGATTTCAGAGGAGGAAGGGCCTGATTTAGACTTTTCCCTGGTCATGAACTTCCAGGTCCTTTTCTCTGCTGTCACCTATAAGGCATGGTATGTGCTGTGAGACACCCATGCCTATAGGTAGAAACTTCTTTCAGTCCATGATGTCTGATTATCTAGGTTCTGTGTTTCTTCACCCCTTGGCATCAGAGAGTTGAGAAAGGTTACTTCATCTCCTTCAGGCTCAGGTTCCTCATGTAGAGACTGGGTTAAAAATGCTACCCACCTTAAAAAGCTGGTGCTGGAATTCAAAATAATACAAGTAAAGTGTTTTTCCCAGTGTCTGGATGCAGTGTCTAATTAATTAATGTAGCATTATTATGATTTAGAATGATGATAGTGATAGTAATCAGTTGCAATATTATTAATAATCACATTATTAAAAAATCTTGGATACCACTTGTATTTTGTAAGAACTTTGCTCAGTGGCCCAATAATGGTGTCACAAATGGCTCTTTTGGCAAAATATCATTACTTTTGGACAGGCTTAATCGTTCTTAGTATAACAAAAATAAATTACTAAGAAATGTAACATAGAGTTCCAGAATACAAAGCTTATTAAAATGTCAGTTGGTAGTCATTAAATTCAAGAGCCCAAAGATGCATCTGCTCCAACCCTTTTATTTGAGATAAATCACTTTGTCAAAATATTTATTTTGTGATGGAGTAGAAAAGTCTCAATAATGTGAACAATCAGAATACTTATGTATAGTTGGGATCTGTCTCTTCTGAAACATTGCCAGACAACACTGGCTTATTGGCCATGTACGAGGAATCGGTCTTGAGGCCTTGTTGCTGATGCTGCCTTTTTTCCACAGAATGTGGTGAAGCTGATGCGAGGTCTTCTCCAATGCATGATGCGACAGGTAGGTGGCATGTGACAGACCGGTACCCACACCGCATTGGAGTGTGCGTTGTATCATTTAATTGGGGTGACATCTTGTTACATTTGGGACTTTCTCAAGAAGAAAAACCAGAAATATTTTGCCTACTTCCTCCTTTTCAAATGATCCTCAATCATTTTATTATGCTATAGAACCATAGTTTCAAAGGACAGTTTTGAAGGCCCTCTTTCAAAGGTTTATGTGTATGAAAGGAGAACATGTCTTTTTTTTTTTTAATAAAGAAAGAAGAATATTAAAACCACTCAGACAAACCCACATACTGCTTATGATTTATTCTGGGTGTTCACTTCAGATCAAGTGGTTGAGTTTTTAAAATCTGTCATTATTGGAGTCAGCTAGGTGATTCAGTCATCACTAAGCCTGAAGACCTGAGTTCAGTGCTAGCACCCACATGCTAGATGGAGAGAAACAATTTCCACAAGTTGTCCTCTGCCCGCAACGTGCATACACATGCACACAAAAAGATAAATAAATGTAGTTTGTGTTTTAAAATGGGCGTCGTCACTTACTGATGTCTTCAGTGTAGGGTAAATGAAACAATTTGTTGCAATATTATACACAGAACCTTCTAGTAGGATCTGCACTGGTTCAGATCCCCGTAACCCCACCCTTAGTCAGAATACCCAAAGACAGTGCGCTCTTTTCTTTGCCATGTTCAGAAAAGAGAAGTTGGCATTTAAATGGGTCCTTTTCCTTCCTTCCCTGTGTCCTTGAGAACGCACCATGTGCCCCTGCTGGGGAGTCTGTGGACAAGGACGCCTTTTGACCTGAACTTCACCTATGAACCCTGGGCTGAGGTATTTCCATTGAATGAGTGGGAAGAATCTCCGTCATGGCCGCTGTGTGTATTGCTGCTCATTAGCAGCTACTTGCCATCCTCCTGGCTCCCAGGGATAGCAGATGAGAGGTCTAGGAGATCCGGTGACCACCCCTAGATGGGACAGCTGCCAGCTCTGAACCTCGATAGCTAGCTGAAGCCGGCTTTCTTCTTCCTCAGGTGGACAAAGTGGAGAAGTTCAAGCACACGCAGAGTACCAAGGACAGTCTGCATGCCAAGTACAACACGGCCACTTGTAGCACCGTGGTGGGTGATGACCAGTGGGGCCACCTACAGGTGGATGCCACCTCCCTCTTCCTCCTGTTCCTGGCTCAGATGACTGCCTCAGGTGAGCCATGGCCATTTGAGAGACAAATCCGAAAGTGAAGGGGGCCAGTGTCCATTTGTATTGAGGTAACAAAATACCCAGGACTGGGACATTCAAACAGTATAGAAGTTTCTTTTCTCACAATTCTAGAGGCTGCAAAGTCCAAGATTAAGGTACCAACAGGTTCAGCTGTCTGGTGAGAGCTGCCTCCTCTGAAGAAGTAGAAAGCTTTGTTTTTACAGGGCAGATGGATTGAGAACTAAATGCTGTATGAAGCCTCTGTGACGAGGCCCCTAATCCACCCATGACCTAAACTCATATAGGCCCCACATCTTAGGACTGTCACATTAGCAACGCTGAATTCAGAGGGCCCCACTGAGAACATAGCAAGTACTGGGGATCAGTAGTCGATCATACAGAGGAAAAGCATGCCTCCCTGTGTGTCATGTGCATCTGTGTCTGCGGCAGGGCAGGGAATGCCGTCTGGCACCTGGAGACAGAAATTAGCTCTACCTGGGCCTGCGCAAGTCTTGCTTTGGCTCGCTCAAGGCTAGAGACTGCTACTTCAGGCTCAGATCTTTGCTTTATCGGAACCTTCTCTGCACAAACATACCATGGTTCAGAGAGCCCATGCCTTATGTCTGGACTTTCTTCCCATAGCGCACCCTCAGTGTGGAGCTACCCCCACTTCCTGTCTTTCCTTTAACGTCCCCTCTGCTTTCTGAGGGTATACATTAACCTTAGGACTTCCTTCCGAGTTAACTGTTGATGCCCAGTAAGGAAGGTAAAAAGACTTATGTGCTAGCAAGATATTTGTTGTGTGTAACCGGCAGCCCTCTTCACAGTATTGCTTTTCTTTATTAGGCTTGCGTATTATTTTCACCCTTGATGAAGTGGCCTTCATACAGAATCTTGTCTTCTACATAGAAGCTGCGTATAAAGTTGCCGTAAGTACCCGCGCTGGCCGTCTTTTTTCCAGTTGTGGAAAACTAAACTAAAATCATCCAGTTCTGTGAAAGCCAGCTGTTGGGGGCTCACTAGAATGTCAGCAAAACTAGAGCTGTGTGAAATGTGTCGTCTCTGTAGGCAAAGTATATGCATGTTTTCATCCTGGGACATAGTTGGGGATTTCATTTTTGGAATGTACCACACACTCTGTCTGAATACATTACTATATTACAAATAACACCTTCAAATGGTCCATAGGATGTGTATGAGTTGGGCTGAAAAGGGGGTATGTCAGTGCCTTGATGGGAACTGGGGCACCATGGGGACTACCCCATCAGGGCACAGGCAGAGGAGGCTACACTGTGAGTGTAAACATAAACCGAGTTCACTTCCTCAAGGCTTCTGTCTGTGTTGGAAGATAAGCCTTGATGTGCTTCTAGAGCGGTGGTTCTCAACCTTCCTGACACTGTGACCCTTTAATACCGTTAAATTATGTTGGGGCGACCCCCATCCATAACATTATTTTCGTTGCTACTTCATAACTATAATTTTGCTACTGCTATGAATCGTAATGTAAATATCTGTGTTTTCAGACAGTCTTAGGTGTCCCATTGGAAGGGCTGTTTGACCCCCCCCCCAAGGGTCGCGACCCACAGGATGAGAACCACTGCTCTAGACAATAATTTGCAAGGCTGACTGTCAAGGCCGTAAGGAAAAGGCAGATGGCACTATGGCTTATGCAGCTGCTTGACCCTGTGCAACAGGAAATCTCCATAGATACTGTGTACCCAACTGAACATAGCTGTGTCTCAAGTAGACTTCAGGAAAGATGAGCAAGGGCCATAGTTTTCTCATTCCAGTTCTAAAGCAGTGATTTGTGTTGATAGGTAATTGTTCTCTCACACGGGACAGTGGTAGTATCTGGAGACATTTGGGGCAGTCACACTTAGGAGGGAACAGGCATCTTGTGAGAGAAGGCCAGGAACTGCCTATAATACAGAAGAGAGCCACCTCATCCCTATATAGACTTATCTGTCCCAAAATGTCAGTAGTGCCAAAGTTGACAGACCCCAGTCTAAAGAAATCCGAGAGATCTTTGTGGTAAAATTGTACTTTCAGTTGGACCTTGGGAGGTGAGTAGGGTTTCCATAAGAAGAGAGGAAGAGAAAGGGCATCTGAGTGCAGGAACAGGATGAGTAATGAGCGGTTACAGACAGGAACAGGCTGGGGGCGTGATTTAGGGAGGGCAGGGGTTGGGAGCAGATGGGGTAGAGAGTGCAGAGTAAAGGCACAGACCTCAGATGAAAATTGACGCTGGAAATGGTGGAGTGTCTGTCAGCTTGCTGGCATGCTGAAGGTGGAGGCCAGATTAGAGAGGGTATGACCATGCAAAGAGTCATTGATGTGATCTAGGAAAAAAACTATTGCTCAATTTATCTGAGATGGAGGCCAAACTCATCACACAATCTTAAGGGATGCATTTGATGGCTGCTAGATTGGAGTATGGAATATTAGAAGCAAAAGAATGCGCAGATATGAGAAAAGACACTTGGGTCCACCTATGAGGCCTGCTTGCAGGGCAGGGTTACAATGGCCCCAGTGTGTCTAGGTTTCGGTGTTCACATTTGAAAATGTCCTTCCTTGTTTTTGTTTGTTCTTTTCTATTTTTATTTTTTAAATTTTTTTGAGACAAGATGACCTCAAACTCAGCAATCCTCCTGCCTCTGCCTTCTAGGTGCTGGGATTACAGGTATGAATACTATGTCTGTTTTTTTTTCATATTTTTGAAGTCTTTGCTACCCCCCAACCAAAGTCATTAGTCATTTTCAATTTTCATGACTTCCCATAGTAGGAGTCACTATGGCCATCATTCCTCTTTGGATATTAAAAAATAAAAACTGGTATTTTGGCATCAACTCTGCTCTTTTTTATTTTTTTGAGAGTATAATATAATTATGTTATTTCCCCTTCCCTTTCCTCCCTCCAAATCTTCCCAAATACCCCCTAGCTTTCTTTCAGATTCATGCCTTTTTTCTTTAATTGCACCCACCCACCCACCCACCCACACACACGTGTACTCTTAAATATCTAAGTATAACCCACTCAGTCTGTGTGCTGCTTGTATATGTCTTTTTTCAGGGCTGACCATTTGGTGTTGGACAACCAAGTGATGTGCTCTTCCCTGGGGAGGACTATAGCTCCCACTCTCGGCCTTCTTTAGTGGCCTGTAGTTCTTTGTCTATTGTTGAGGCTTCATGAGCTTTCCCCTTCCATGTTGACATGTCTGTTGGTGAAATATTTGCTCATGGTATCATGTTTGGGCAGCCATGTTGGTTCTTGTTAGGATTTTGCTCTTTTCACAGTGTATGCAGCATTTTTGAAACAACATGTGACACTTGGGTTTTAATAAAAATATGAATCACCAAAGTTAGGTATATATGTATTGAGTCTTTGGTGTGACGGTATTCCGATTAATTTGTATGAATGCATCTTGCATACCATGTGCATTCAGTGAGTCACTTTTGACCTTGGCTTCACTTACTTGCTGCAATTTTCTTTATACAACAGGTAATGCTAAAAATAGTTTTTGAAATTGTTTTAAGTAAGTTCAAAGGCACTGGCCAAATAGAAGGGCAGCACTTTGATATTAAGATGATTAAAATATATTGTTCACTGCAAATTGAATTTGTTACAAATTAATGCCCTTTAGAAATAAGCCTTTGGAGTGTCTTTGTGTGTTCTTTTGTTCCACTTGAGTATTTCCTTCTAAAATTCTGTACAGAGGCCAGCTAAGCTGAAATTGAGCAAGAACAGAAGAAACGTACAAAGCCACAAAGCCTTTGAGAAGGCATGCTAATGTTTGTTGTGTTGGTGCTAACATAAAGAAAGTGCTTTTCCATAGTGTTGCTCGGGTCCTCCCGCACCTCTGACGGCTGGCTGCCTTTTTCTCCCCCAGGATTATGGAATGTGGGAGCGTGGAGATAAGACTAATCAGGGCATTCCAGAACTGAATGCGAGCTCTGTGGGAATGGCCAAGGTGACAGTCCTGTTTGTTCTCCTCTGTGTCTTTCCTGCTTTCTCTGCTCCTCTTCTCCAGGAATTTGGAGTTCATATGATTGGTCCAGTTTTCTTTTCAAAAGGCTGCAGCAAATATATGAAATCCAAGTGGCACCTGTACCCCAGCCAAGTGAAGTTACAGGTCAAGGAAACAGGTTTCCAACACTGAAGTCTGCATGTGACAGCTTGTACTGTTTGGTGTGTCAGCCGTGGGTGCAAGCTCTTGCCGTTAATCTGTGTTAGTGATGGTCACTCTTCCTCTCTGGGTCATAGTAAGGGTTAAAGGTCAGAGGACAGGAGCACTTTGTAGGTGAGGTGCACATCTTCAAGTCTACAAGGTCAGATGAGTAACAGTAGGCAGATAGAAGGAGAGCAGGGCAAGAGGAAGGTACTGGGGATGCTGGGAACTTTCCCTGAAAGTATTCCAGCTTGGAAGCAGTTAGAAAATGGTTGTCAGGCCAGCACTGTAATGCGGGCCTCTAATCCCACCATCTCAGAGTACTGGAGCAGGATGGTGACTTGAACCCAGGAGTTTGCAGCCAACCTGGGCAGCACAGTGAGGCCTGTTCTAAAAAGGGAAAGGAGAGAGCCGGGCGGTGGTGGCGCATGCCTTTAATCCCAGCACTCGGAAGGCAGAGGCAGGCAGATCTCTGTGAGTTCGAGGCCAGCCTGGGCTACAGAGCGAGATCCAGGAAAGGTGCAAAGTTACACAGAGAAACCCTGTCTCGAAAAACCAAAAGAAAAAAAAGGAAAAGGAGAAGAGAGGAGACAAAGCAGGAGAGGGATGGAGACAAGAAGAGTGGAAACAGAAGACAAAAGTGGGGGGACTCTGAGAGCCAAACAGAGTGTAACTGTGGGGCACATCCAGCCTGTAGACCACTGGTGTGAATCCCTTGCTAAAGACCGCATAGGCTTGAACTGCCACAGTTTTAAAAACAACAATGAATATGCTGTTACAGCAAACTGGCAGAAATGAACGTTTTACTGAAAACCAAATTAACTTTCTCAACTAACCATGAGGTACGTTAACTACAAAAGTCGATGAGAGAAAAGCCAACCCTGAATTTCCACACATGATGTTATAGACTTGTTAAAATCCATCTTCCGGTAGGATATTACTTTCATATGAGGGAATGCTCTCCCTTTCTTTCTTATTCATAGAATGAGCAGTGTCATCCTGGAAAGCTCTGAGCTACTGAGAATGAAGAGAGACCATGGCAATAAGACTCTAGCTAGATTTTAAAGACATTCTTCATTAGGAGAAATGTGTGTGTTAGACACTTAATGAAAAAGGAGTGCCACATTAGCATGCATGTTTATTAAAAGAAAAGTAATTCTTACCCATTTTTGTAGGCAGCACTTGAGGCAATTGATGAACTTGATCTTTTTGGAGCCCATGGAGGACGCAAGTCAGTCATCCATGTCCTACCTGACGAAGTAGAGCACTGCCAGGTAACAGTCATTCCTCCAGAGCTCGGGAAAGTAGGGAAGGAGACTCCTGGCCCGGAACAGCGTGGGCTCCACCCCGGTGACTGATCTGACTTGGACTTCTTTGTGCCTCAGCTTCCCCCACCCTAAAGTGGGCATGTGCTTAGGCACCGTTCTTCCTGCCTCAGGGTAACCGTAAGGATCAGAGTAAACCTGGATGACTTGCCCCAGTACTGTGTAGCCAGAAAGTACTATGAGACATACGCCATCAAGTTTGTGTGTGTGTGTGTGTGTGTGTGTGTGTGTGTGTGTGTGTGTGTGTGTAGCTAACAGCCAAAGCATCTTGGTTTCACTAGAAGCAAAATCTGTGCTATGTTTTTTGAGTACATAAGTGGTTTTCTCGCAGGTTCATTCCTTAGTGCTCCCAAATGGAGTGGCTTGCAAGTGGATTTTTACTTGAAATAAAGGAGGCATGGTGTGAAGAATGGGTGAGAGGAGAGAGAAAATGAGAAGAGATGGCAAATTCATAGAACTTCTTGGAAATACAGACCACAGGAATAATTGGTACAGTGTAGGGAGTGCCATTCAGCAGACAGTTCTTAATTATTATTAGCAGTTATTAGTGTGGACCTACTATGTGCTAGGACTAAAGTGAGTCAGACACATAACTTGTAAATAATAAACCATGTTTGGTGGTGCATGCCTGGAATCCCAGGAGGAAGAGGCAAGAGGACCAAAAGTTCAAGCTCATCTTCAGCTACTGTGGGAGCTCATTTTCAGCTTTCCTAGTGGCTTTACCCAGCAGGTCTGCATAGAGAGGATGATTGGACCACAGGCCTGAGTGCAGGTACCTGAGACGGTCTGCACTTGGCTGTGCTGGGGAGATCTTTTGCTCCACACCTTGGCGTTCCTATAAATACCCTAGGGCAGGGACAGTCTAGGCCCAATGGATTAGGATCCAGGCCCTGTATTTTCTATCTGTTCCTGCCCCCTCTACCTTTCTAACTAATACTTCCTGCTGCTCCTACTCAAGAGCACTCTGGGGAAGTGTGGGGGTGGTGGGTAGCCCCTCCACAAGCTACATAGAGAATTACCAAGTTCCAGGCTAGCTTAAGCTGCATGAAACCCTGTCTCCAAAAATCTAAACCCAAAACACTTGTAAAATGTTTCAAGTGAAAGTTTGTGTTTCCAGCCAGAGAAACCCTGAAAAGAAGTGATTATTACCATGTACTTTATAGTTACATTTTGGTCAATGAGAGGTGGCATATACTATGGTATCATAGTGTATTTTGTCTCTTATTGACCAAAATGTACCTTACAGCCTATGTGTATAGTAGACTATACAATCTAAGTATTTGTAAGTGTACAATGATGAAGTCACCTAGTATCATATTTCTCAGAATGTACCACTCTTTAAGTGATTCATGACTATAGTTAAAGAACTGAGCCAAGAATTGATTGACTATAAAAAAGTTTTATTCTAGAGCTGAAAGGTTCCACTCATCTTAACCCCACCTTCCAGCTCATTCCATCTTCCCCACTAAGCATGGTCCTTAATGAAGTCTATGGTATTTTCTTATGGTATACATTAATAAAGGAATACTGGTATTTGTCTTAGTAGATATACAGTACAGTAGGAAAGTATAAGCTGGGTTATAATCCTAGCTTGGTCACTGGCTACCTGACCTAGGGCATGAATCCTGTGTCTCAGAGTCCTTGTGTACTTAATGAGCTTGTTTTTGCCAGTGTCTAGCCTGTGTCTGTACACGCTAGATCTCACCATTAGTTCTTTTACTTTTCCAAACATTTCCGTATAATTCTAACCCCCATCTACATTTATAGTGCTTAATCTAGCTACCTTATTGTTGAGGCCATATCGTAGTGCCTCTGATGATCTTAAAAATATTCTGTAACTAAACTAATTCGCACTGTTTTGTCTGACCACTCATGACCTCTTCTGCATTTTACTCCTCCTTCAAGCAGTTTCTAACTTCCCTAACTCATCTAGTCCCATTTCACAAACGCGTCCATCTCTCTGTGCTGGTCCTGTAGGAGTGTTCTCGTCTGGTTTCTGTCTTCCTCGCCAGCCATCTTGACCGCTGACACAAACAGTGCTGTACTTCCTCCCCATCAGTGGGCGTGGAAAGAAGGGAGGTCGGGGTTCTTAGCACGAGCCTCAGACTATCATGCTCTCTTCAGCTCCCCCACTCCTCTCCTCAGGAAGAGGAAGCGTTGTCGGGGTGGCTGGGTAAGCAGGGCTGGTCAGCGGAGGCCATGTTGGTAAGACTGAGTCCTTTTCCAAATAGACAAACTCGTTTGAATGTTTCCTTTAGGCTAAGGTGACGATCCCTAGATTTTATATCTAACTAGTCCTGCTTCACTAGCTTAAATCACCTCTTTGTGTTTTATTCAGTCAATTCTTTTCTCCATGTTGCCAAGAGCATCAACATCTAAAGAAATCGATGCTGGACTTCTTTCTATTATTTCTTTCCCGGCCTTTGCAGTAGAAGATGTGAACCTTGTAAATGTGACCAAAAATGAAATCATTTCCAAGCTTCAGGTAAGCATTGGCCAATGCCCCTCTGTTCTGCATTAAATGCCACATTCATGTGATGACATGGGGCAGCTAGCTTATCCTTGTAACTCATGGTGTGGTTTTCCTAAATCAGTAGTTCTCTGCCTGTGTGTCGCAAACCCTGTAGGGGTCACATATCAGATATCCTGCCTATCAGATATTTACATTACGAGTCATAACACTAGCAAAATTATAGTTATGAAGTAGCAATGAAATGATTTTATGGTTGGGGGGATCACCACAGCATGAGGATCTGTATTGAAGTGTCACAGCATTAGGAAGGTTGAGAACCACTGCTCTAGAGGTTATAGGAAGACTCCTTAGAGAATCTCTTGAAAGCTCTATAGACCATACTAGAACAAAAGCACATATCCAAGTGCTTGATATGCAAGTATGAGGACCGGAGTCCAGCTCCCCAGCACCCATGTAAAAATCCAGACACAGAAGCACACGTTCATAATCCCAGCACTGGGGAGGAGGAGATGGGTGGGTCCCTAAGGTTTGCTGGCCAGCCAGTTTAGCTGAATCGGTGAACTCCAGGTTCAGTGAGAGTCTGTGTCTCAAAAGAATAAAGTGGAGGGGGATTGAGGAAAATGACTGACATCAACCTCCAGTCACACACACACACACACACGCACGCACGCACGCACGCACGCACGCACGCACGCACGCACGCCACATAAAAGGAGAAAGGTTGACTTTGAAGAAAAAAGAAGCCAATGGAGGGAGGAAGGGAGACAAGAAATTAATAGGAGGTAAATGAGAACAAAGTACAATAAAAATATAAAAATTAAGAAATGTTTTTATTATGAAATATAATGAAACTCATATTTTTATATTCTAATAAAAATTTGGTGAAAATCCAGTACTGCATTCAGTGAAATGCAGTAACAGATCACTAAGCTGAGACCATATTATATTTTCAGCAAACAGAAGTCCATAAAATTGTCCAAGGATGTATGTTTCCTAAGTCAAAGCGTACATGTTGATTGTCCCACCTATATTTAGCAGGAAATACCTTTGTCCCTTGCAAACAAAGCAATTAAAGAGTCTCTAAGCATAATCCCAAAAGAAAGCAACTGGAGGGGTCAAGCTCTGTGGAGAAGAGGAGGATCTAGGTAGCTGCAGCTGAAAGGGCAGTTGTAATGTACGTACAGGACAAGTGGAGTCTATGTCAAGTCCCCTGGGATGATTCCCAGAACCACACAGAACTTGTAAAGGCCTCCAGGACAAGTGATAGCCAAGCCTGCCAGGGCAGTACCACCCCCAAAAGAAATTGGGAAATAGGGACCCAAAGCTGCCATCCAGGGATTGGGGACATCAGATAAGACACCATCACACCCAGCTTCCTTTCTTGACACCCAGAAAACTGGACAGGAGCCCTGGCATCTACAGATAGTGAGCCAGCTCCTCTTCCATACTTCCACCTTTGTAACCTTCTCCGCCTCCTCTAAGCCTTGACAGGCCTCTGAAGCAGACCATCTTCAGCATGCACAGCCTGAGTGCATTGAGTCTGCAGAGTATCCGTTTACCTTTCCAGCTCTACACACAGGAGGCAGCCATTCCAAATACCGGTGGCTTTTCACCTAGTGAGGATACCTTTGCATCTGTGTCTGATACTGTAAACCACACGGAAAGAATGCTTATTCACTGAGACCTTGGTAACCATATTTGCAGCCCCACCCCAGACTCTGATGGAATGCTTCTGTATTCTCTTCTGAGTGTTCATCAAGACTGAATTCGCTTTGCTTGGTACTTAAAAAGAACTCTTTACATTAAAGCAAAGAACACTGGTACATATTTGCTCACTGAAATACACAAGGGAAAGGAGATGAAGGACTGCTTTGAGTTGAAATTAAAAGGCAAAGAAGAATGCTTTTGATTTCATCAGCTCTGCTTTTTTTTTTCCACCTTCACCTTACCAGGGGCGTTATGGATGCTGTCGCTTCCTTCGGGATGGTTATAAAACCCCAAGAGAGGTTGGATTTAAATATTGTTTCTCATCTTCCTTAACTGCTCCATACCTACTTGCCACTGTGTCATCCTCCCTCTGCTGATTATAATTATATGTTGAATATTGCGAAGGAAAGTATTAATTTTAGAATCAGCAAGCTTGGAGTTATATAGAAAAGAATGATCATCAGGTCAAGCCAGTAATGTGAAACTGGCTTGTAAATCAAGGATGAGTAAGTCTGTGGCTCACACGTTAGTTTTTTAAGATAATCTATAGCATTCTCCTTGGGTTTTATTGCCACGGTGACTAATATAATGTTATAAATGAAGCAGATCATCTACCAAGCATTGTGATAGGCAAATTGCTATTTCTTAGAGAGAGAGGATGCTTTAATGTAATAAACTACTGAGGAGTCCTGTGGGTATTTCTGATTTAGTGTCTGAAATTTTGCCCAAACTAGCATTTCCCCATGGCAGTAGACTCCTAATCATCACAGAGCTGCCTTGACTGAGATGGGCAAGGGAAACCCAGTGAAGCACAGTGGCATTGTATATGAAATCCAACATTCTGTTCTAAAAGTTTTATAAATTTGGTTCTAGGACCCACATCGATTGCATTATGACCCTGCTGAACTTAAGCTCTTTGAAAACATTGAATGTGAATGGCCTGTGTTCTGGACTTACTTAATCATAGATGGAATCTTCAATGGTGATGCTGTTCAGGTGAGAAAATGCTGGGCATTGTGCTCATAAGCTTGTTCATCCCACTGGTAGGCTGATCACTATTAGCATAGAGTCATTCAGAATTCACATCATTGTTGCAGCTATTGTTGCCATTTTTAAAACTTTTCCAAAGCCTAGTGAATTAAAGCAGCAGCTGTTTTATTGATTTGCTCATAATTCTGTTATTCGGGCTGAGCCAGTAGGAACAGATTGTCTCTGCTTCTCTTTCTGTCCCCTGGGATAGTTCACAGGACTAGAGGACCTACTCCTACCATGGTCCTAGTCACATGGCTAGGGAGTGAAATCTGGCTGCCAGCTAAGACTGGATGCTCAGCTGAGCTGTGGCGGGGACTTGGTTTTTCTCCAGGTGCCTCACTTGGGCTTTTCACAGCAGTAGAATCTCTGGGCCATGAGATTTTTCATGCCATAGTTGTCTTTTCTCCAAGAATGTAAAAAGCATAGGCTGCTAGGCTTTCTTAAGTCTTATTACAGAACTGGCAAAGCGTCTCCGTCACATGGTCGGTTAAATGGCTGTCACATAGTAAAGAGTGGGGGTGGGGCGAACTAGACAAGAGCATGAGTGCTAGAAGACATAGTTCCTTTCTATGTCAGACAAGTGTTCCTTTTGCTCCTTTCTGATCAGTCGGTCATTTTGCTGTTGTTAGGTCTAGTTGAGAGGTACTCTGGTTTTGTGATACTCTCAGATAACACCTTGTTTACTGTATCAAACCCTAACTGCCTCCCATGCTCCAGCTTTACTCCCTGTTCATTCCATTCTCTACATCTGAGCCAGGATGATTTTATTAAAAGACAAACTTAGATTATGCTGCTGCCTGACAGTGTTAGTCACCTTTCTGTCACAGTGACAAAATATCTGAAATAACCAAGCTAGAAGGAGGGAAAATTCCCTTTTGGCTCACTGTTTCAGAGGTCTCAACTCGTGGGTCATTTTAGCCTCATTGCTTTTGGTCCTGTAATGTGGTGATACCTTGTGTTAGGGAGCCTATAGCAAAAGAAAACTATTTACTTCATATCGGCCAAGAAACAGGGTATGTGGTAGGGGAAAAGCTAGGGCCCCAGTACACTCTCCCAAGAACATAACTCTAATGACTTACTTTCTCCAGATAGGCCCTATCTGCTAGTTTCTACAACACTCAATAGTGCAAATAGATCCTGTTAACCAGGATCTCACTCTGGCTTCTCAGAGCCCATTCTAATCACATCCCAAGTCTGGAGAAGAAGGAGATGGCAGTAGTCTTGTCTTGTGCATTTTGGCTTTTGAAAACCCAGTGCTCAGGAATATAGGCAGTAAACTTAAAATGTTAAGGTCCCGTCTTTATTCATTCTTTTTTTTTGTTGTTTTTTTTTTT